ACTTCCATAGAGTCCTCTGTTCTCCTATTCTTTCCAATACCTCTTCATTTCTAACCTTTTCTACCCACGTTATCCTCATCATCCGCCTATAACACCACATTTCGAAGGCTTCTAACCTTTTCTTTTCCGCCGCGCCTACTGTCCATGTTTTTCGAATTTCCAATTTAACCGTTCGCGAGCATAGAAGTGACTTCTTTTTATTAAAGGCGACACGACCCTGCGCTATCCTCTGCTTTATAACCCTACTACTCCTTCCGTCCTGACTTATCTGACTTCCTAGATGTCTAAAATCAGCCACTTCTTCTAATTTTTCGTCTCCTATCTTTATATTCGCTCTTTCCCTACATTTTCTTTCCTTGCATGCCAGTATTTTAGTTTTTTATTTATTTTCATACAGTACTGTTTTGTCAGTACCGCTTCCATTTTATTTAAAGCTATCTCTAGGTCCTCCTTGCTAGATGCTAATCATCTGCAAATCTAAGCATACAATACATAATACACATATAAAAACCAATTGACATTTATTTGCTATCATAAAATATGCTTTACAAAACCGTTAAAAAATCAATCATATTGACATCGTAATACCAAGAAACGCGTACGGCGTGTACATGATAAATGATAATTGGTGTAGATATTGATAAATCATCGATTGTTATCACTATCTTAACTTTGTACAACATTTGTTTTAAGACATGCCATTAAACAACTTAAAATGGCACATATGTACGTTTAAATGCGCTTATGTTGCTAAATTGTCGTCTATTGTTCTTCCCTTAGATCTGACAACCTTTCGCTTTTCTTGATAATGAATCAATTACAGAGGAATTTAAATGATATGGGCTATTAAACACATACCAAGTGTAGTAACGCTCACCAGCTCACAAATAATAGAAGAAAGTCCAGTGTTACTTCTACATGAATTCGTTTTATAAAAAAAAAAAACGAAGCCAATCTTCGCGCAAAATTACTGAATAAAACAAAAGCGCACGTATTTCTATTTCTTAAGGAAACTCTCACAATCGTTTTTGGAACAGAAAATCATTTTAAAACAAAAATCGTTTTCAGACAGCTGCTATAGTAATTAATTTATACGTTTCCTTTCACTAATTATTATCGAAAGTATTTCGAATGAGATCTAGTATTATGGAAATAATAAAATACACAGCCGTTTTAATTTTAATTTATACAGACGCAAAATATTTGCATAAGTATGAAAGTTGTAGGATTTTCCGATAAAAATAACTCGCTTCATTAGTTAATAAATACATAAAAACTTAGCAACTTCGTTATATAAATGATGACATTCCTTGTGTAATAGAAACACAAAAAAATGTTGTTTTTTTTCCACCCGGAGGAATAATTTACTACAGAAACCTTGAGTTTAGTTACATAAAGAAGGTGACGACTTTGTCAAACAATTGTTAATTTTTGATGTTATTGGAGGATGTTACTTAGCATGGGTTCGATTCCGGGTCCGTCTGCCCTAGTCCTAGTTTTCTATGATTATTTAGGCAGATGCTGTATCGGAAATATTCCAGAGACAATCTCTCTCCCTCTTCTATCTTTGCTCGTTTGCCTCGCCTAAGGAAACTACTTTTAAAGAAAAATCAAATTGAATCAATCAGTGAAATGGCGTTTCACAACTCCACCCAGATACAAATTCTGGACTTAAGTTACAATAAATTAGAGCGATTGAGAGAAAGGATTTTTGAAGGTTTGATACGACTGGAATTGTTAGATTTGGAAGGAAACCTACTCTCCGATTTACCAGATACAATTTTCGAGAGCTAGACTGCAAATGTTAGAAAATATAAACTTGACGCGTAATCTTTTCGAAATAGCCCTTACATAAAGAACGTGACGACTTTGTCAAACACTTGTTGATTTTTGTACTGATGTTATTGGAGGATGTTACTTAGCATCGGTTCGATTCCGGGTCCGTCTGCCCTAGTCCTAGTTTTCCATGATTATTTAGGCAGATGCTGTATCGGTACTATTCCAGAGACAATCTCTCTCCCTCTTCTATCTTCATTTCGTCCGTTTCATATTTCTCACACCAACCTCCACCGAACCTCATCCCACGATTCCTAAAAGGAGGATGAAGACAGCCTCTCTCCTTACCCTCCTGGAAGGACTGTCCGCCCACTAGCATTAGCAACTTGTAGGAATGAAACATCCAAAAGTTTAAAGTTGTTGTTAAAGAATTAAAAAGGTTAGAAGTGAAGAGATATTTGGAAGAGCTGGAGAACAGAGGACATTTTAAATAAAGGCGAAATAGGTTTGATAGGACACCTTCACAGTCATGAAGGGCTAGTTAGTGACTTAACAGAAGCACAAGAGGGGCAAAGGTAAACCAAGATTAAATTACTGACCGCAAATAGTTAGATATGTAGGTTTTCAAGAAATGCAATGATCAGATCAATGATAATGATGTCAAACTTTTCTTAGTTCTTTCAGGTATTCAGTACCTCAAGCCTGCCGATCCGAACGCTCGATTTCAGCGGCAATTCCCTACGAAGATTAACGGAAAGACTGCTTATAAGATTGCAGTCCACTTTAGTGGAACTGCGCCTCGCTGAAAATTTATTAGGCGACACCCTAAATCCAATTTTTTCAAGCAACGAGTTTCATGGACTCAAACACTTGCAAATATTGGATCTAAGCGGCAACAGAATAAAAGCTCTAGAAGAAGGAATCCTCGAGGGGTGCGAAAGTCTTCAGGTAATTAGTTATGTCACTCAAACTATGCATTAACAGAGTAGTTCTAACAATTTTGTTCCAGGAACTTTATTTAGACGATAACAGTCTGAATTCCATTCCGACTTCTTCGCTTAACGGGCCCAGGGCATTGAGGGCTCTCTCACTTAAAGACAATCGAATCGGTACGGTTTTCCACGAAGTAGTAAATCCCTTTGTTTCAACTACAATTTTTCAAAAATCGTTGCAGGTTCTTTAAAAAATGGCGCCTTTTACAATCAAAAGCACATGGAACATCTCGATCTGGCTCACAATCTTATTGCCAATATAGAAGGTGGTTCTTTTGTGGGACTTGCGAATCTAAAAACCCTTCGTTTGGCACACAATAAACTTGCAAGGTTCAACAGCGACGTATTCCAAGGAGCAGAGAATGTCCAACTATTGGATCTTTCCGACAATTTTCTCACCGAATTTCCATCAGTGGCTCTGAAAGTTTTTGCTGAACTGAGATATTTGAATCTTTCATCGAACTTAATTCAAGTAAGTTCTTCTAAAATGTTCAAGAATCTCCTTAATCCGAAAACTTATTATCTAGCATTTGGATGGCGCCGAATTAACTCCATTTGCGAGCTTGTACCATCTTGACATAAGCAGAAACAATATTGCCAATATCTTACCGGGAACCTTCTTAGGGTTAAAACAATTGAGGAAATTGGATATCAGCGTTAACTCATTGAGAACTGTAAGTAATTGCTAAGCCAAGCTATTTCTTCATTTTAATTTATAATATTTTCTGTTCTAGATCGAAGACGACGCTTTCGAAGGTTTGGATAACCTGGAAACTTTGATTCTTCACGATAACAATATTCTTCTTCTACCAGCGTCAGCATTTGGGCGTCTACCACACCTGACATCGTTATACCTCGATTACAACAGGGTGGCGGCCTTATCGGGTGACATTCTTCGATCCGTCGCCGAAAAAGTAACAAAACTTTCGATTGCAAAGAATGTTGTACGCGAATTACCATCGGGCACCTTTGAATATTTCCAACAACTCCAAGAATTAGATCTAACAAGAAATCTTCTCACCACATTAAACACTGAAGCTCTGGGAGGATTGGAAAAAACTTTAAAGAAACTCTACCTGTGCCAAAATCACATTAGTGCAATCACTGGCCCCCAACTGGCACTTGCAGCTTTGGAAGTACTCGACTTAAGTGATAATAAATTAACAGAGCTGCCGAGAAATGCATTCGCATCATTGACGAGTTTAAAACACCTAAACTTAAGCGGGAACCATCATTTGACTTTTGTTCCTTCAGGTTTTCTACAAAAACTGACCCAACTCGTTACAATTGACTTAAGTGGCACAGGTCTTAAAATTTTGTCACCAGATTTATTCAGCAAAAACCGCAAGTTGCACTACGTTTATTTGCAAAATAACGAAATCACCGAAATAACCGATAATTCCTTCGCAAACCTTCGAAACCTAACCGTCGTAGATCTATCTTATAATAAAATAAATAATATACGACAGGGGGCTTTTGTTAGCGTGATGAACATGAAGAAATTACTACTAAAGGGTAACGAACTGAACGCTTTCAAAGGAGAAATTTTTAACACCGGCACAAGCTTAGAAGTGATAGATATTTCCGATAACAAACTAAACTACTTATTCCCTTCGTCCTTCAAGATCCATCCTAGACTGAAGGAACTTTACGTGGCTAGAAATAAATTCACATTTTTCCCTGCCGAACTCATATCGACACTGCAGTATCTCGAACTAGTAGACCTTTCCGAAAATGGTCTCAAAAACGTGGAAGAGTTTGACTTTGCTCGTTTGCCTCGCCTAAGGAAATTACTTTTAAAGAAAAATCAGATTGAATCAATCAGTGAAATGGCGTTTCACAACTCCACCCAGATACAAATTCTCGACTTAAGTTACAATAAATTAGAGCGACTGGGAGAACGGATTTTTGAAGGTTTGATACGACTGGAATTGTTAGATTTGGAAGGAAACCTACTCTCAGATTTGCCAGATACAATTTTCGAAAGAGCAAGACTGCAAATGTTAGAAAATATAAACTTGGCGCGTAATCTTTTCGAAATAGCGCCTTTGAAACCGCTACAGAGACAATATTTCTTCGTTACATCCGTCGATTTATCTCATAATAAATTGGTAAATATACCTGCCGAAGACAGCCTTATGGTAAACATTAAAAGATTAGATCTTTCCTTCAATCCCCTTTCTGAACAATCGGTAATGAATGTACTGGGCGAACCAAAAACGGTAAGAGAGATCAATTTAGCTGGAACAAATATCAGTCGAATCACAAGACTGGAAACGCCCTTCTTGCACTATCTTAATCTATCGCATAACAACATATCGGAATTATCCGAAACAACATTTGAAAGAACGTCTCTTTTGGAACATCTGGATTTGTCATACAACCAACTTTCCGAGATGTTTACGTCGTTTTCGAAAGTATGGGCTCTACTAAACAACCTGCAGTCCTTGGACTTATCTCACAATCCAATAAAATCAATTTCACAAACCGATTTCGAAGGACTTGAATCCTTAAAAACGTTAAAATTGCACGATCTCAACCAATGTGACAGAATCGAAAAGAGCGCCTTTAAATTTGTACCTAATTTATCAATATTAGAGGCACACAACTTCCCGAAAGTGGGCTACATTGATGTTAAGGGCCTATTGCAGAATTTACCAGCCCTTGAAAGAGTCAGCATAGAAACCAAAGATCCTTCTATAGGAAGCGATAATTTACAATCAATTTTACGATCTAGACTGAAAGAAGTTGGGATTATGGGATATAGACTCCAAAGCGTTTCATCAGGGACACTATCAGGATTAAAATCGCCAGAAGTCACCATAAAATTTACGAATACCTCAATTATTTCGATACCACCAGCATTATTTTTCCCTGTACCCAGATCGTCTAAAATAACGTTAGACCTTGGAGGAAATCAAATAACTACCCTAAGTCCGCAAATGTTAACTGTCCTGGACGACAGGCGGGGCGACTTAAAAATTACAGGTCTGGAATCAAACCCCCTTGTTTGCGACTGCACCGCCAAAGCATTGAGACGCTGGATTGCTACAACATACAGTATGGTCAACCTGAAATGCACCAAACCGGACTACTTGTCCAAAAAATTCTTTGTCGAAATAGACGAAAAAGAATTTACGTGCGACCCTAAAAGACCAACAACCCCACCTTCGTCCTCTGCTACCAAATCGAAAGCCACAAACGTAGTAACAAAATCGACAGAACCAGAAATAATTTGGTCGTTAGCACCCACAGCAAAATCTAAAATCAACGGAGGGAGTACAACCAAAAAGCCCTTAACTGGAGCTTCAAGTCCTGGTAACGACGACACCCTGATCATAGGAATCGTCGGGGGTGTTGTTGCATTTATAACGGCTCTTATCATAATAATCTGCATTATACGATTGAGGGCAACCACAAGGTACACAGGAGGGCCTGTGGGTGTAGTTAATGGGGCCTTGCCTCACAGCACGGGAAGCAATTGTGCCTGCAGTGTAAAAGGTGCCCCTATATATGCTATACCTCAGTACGGTCCTGGTTATGCTGCTACATTACCGCATAAAATGCATAACATGTCGGTTTCACCGAGACCAGCCTATTCCACAATGGGCCGATCGCCATATGGTAGTCAAGCCTATTACGTAGCATATCCGACAGATGATAAAAGTTATCGGTAGTTGAATTAAAAAAAGTGCGATTTTTATAGCTCGCGAAACTTATTACAAGTAATAAAAGTAACAGATACAATTATCATGTTGACACAACGAAAGTGATAAAATTAATTATCCCTCGTAATAAAATAAAGACATGGTATTTATAAATCGGGTTTGTTAACAAGTTTAAAAACAATACATTTTCTACCTACCTTCTACTGTATTTAAGAATTAGGCATATTGAAATAGAAAGTTTATTTTGTTCGTATTTAAATTAATTTATGTACTATTAATTAACCGTTACATAAACGTCTGNTATGCCGAGTACTTTTTTTTTTAACCTATTAGTCGAGAAATAGTTTATGTAAAGCCTGAAAAGGTGGCAACCCTAGGTAGAGGTAGACCTAGGTTAAATTACTGTTCGCAAATATTTAGTTAAGGATGTGATAGAATGAAGTGAACTATTCCGTCCAGACGTTTCGTCAGCTACTGCGGCTGACATCCTCACTGGTAGTGCTCCGTTGACAACGCGAACGTTAAGGATGTGGGTTGTTCTAGTTTTAAGGAAGCAGTCTTAGGACTGACGACCTTTTGATGACTGATATCCTTATATTAACACATTTACCACAACTAAATTTTTTTAATTATATTTTTAATTTATTTAGAAAAAGATAATTTGAAAATCCAAACTGTTATTGGTTTAAAGTACAACTATTACGAAAAAAAAAAACGTCAAAACTGTAGGTACATCGTCATGAGAGAAAAGTTTTTGTGAGTTTACCCACAATGTGCGACTAAAAGAACGACATACTAAAATGTGGGTCACTGCAACCACAGCCCTACAAAACCGCGAGTAGGTACAGTTCGAAGACCCAAATTTAAGAGTACCGCTCCAAAAACGAAAAAAAAAATAAGATAAAAAAACAACACGTATTGGAAGCGGTTGTAAAACGACTTCAACTCGTTTACTCCGTCTTTGGCACGGGGTCAACCATCCCAGTAGGTCGGTGTCCAGCGGATTATATGAGAGGAACCCGAGCCCCAGCCCACCTTGTGTTGACATAAACGGCACAGTGGCGGCGGCGAGAGACGGCCAGCGGGCAAACTAACTGTCACTGAGACATCAAAGGCGCAGCAGCAGCGCCTTTATCGCGACTCATCGTCATGGCTTTTATTTCGTCATGGTTTTTATTTTCCGGTTCGTTTGATTAACGACAACTGCCTGAATTGCGTGCGTTCGTGCCGGAATCGATTTGTCAGTGTCCGAAATGAACGTCTTAAATGGTTGCTTATCTTAGAAAAGCTAAGTCTTGTTGTTAACACGCCAAAAACTTTCTCTGCCTCTTAAAGAAAATGTACACGGTACATCCCATTCATGTAGAAGCCAGAATAATTAAAGTTGATTAATATCAAGTTATTGATAATATATTGCCATCTATGCGCTGATATCAACATCTGCCTGAAGCAGATTCGAACTTATTAGTGATAATTAGCACTTTAATGATGTTCATGAAATTCTACATATCTACATTCGTAAGGCCCTTATCAAATACAGTAGAAAAACTCCAAAACTCGAAAAAACGTTTTGTTTCCCTCCCTTCACCCCCCTCTATTAGTCGAAATAATCACTGAGTCCCTGCAAACCATTTTGGTACATATTTTCTTTCTATAACTCGAAAAATTAAATTGGATCTCTGTAACTCGATAATTTGAAACTAATTACGTCTATAGTTCGAAGAAAACTTTAAAGATTCGCCGACAATGTAAGTACCTACACCAAATCGTAACCTCTACAAGTCGAATCAAAATCCTCCACAAGTCGAAAACTCTATAACTACAATTTTTCGGTGTCTCTCTTGATATTCTACTGTATAAGGAATATGGACAGGAGTTAGCAGTTAGCAGTAGATATTAACAATTTCGAATTAGTCATTTTACTTTTATAGACCAATTTCGGTTTAGTTCGAAATAGCAACACAAATTGCTGGTCAAATACGAGTTGATATTGGCGAAACCAGAAATTTAGAAGCCTTTACCAATTGCGATTCTATTAGTTGCAAGATTACATGGATTTTTTTATCCTCACTCAGATAACCTTGTAATAATCTTTAGAAGTACATAAAAGCCATGAATGCCCACATATCGCCTACCATATTAACCGCACACTCATAAAGATAATGATAATTATGTATTAGTGCGTATTATGAAATCAACGAAATCTAGAAATATTGAAATAACATACATACAAAGCTCGAATATTAGACATTTTTTCTTGCAAAAGTAGACATAGGACTTCAAGAAAACGCTTAAGTAAGTGTGTTCAACGATTTTTTATAGTAGTTTGTCAAAGTCCTGCATGACACTTTTGGCTGTCTCCGTTTGATTCAAATTTTGAATTCATAAACCATAAATCCTATTTCAAAAGATCCAACTCCAAAATCCCGAAAATTACTAAATCTTCGCGAGGATAATCCCCTAGGACCTCAAATTCCATGCACCCAATTCACAGCTAACACCGACCTTGTACCTCATATGAAACCTATTCTATTAATAAACCAATAGGCACACTTTGTATGTCACTGTAACTCTCTAAAAATGATTTTACTATAAATTGTGACGAATCATTTTAGCTTGAAAAGAGAACCGACCTGTTCAATTTTATATGCCAACGATATTCATTCACTTGGAACGCAAGGAATCTAATTAACTAAGAAATAAATTGTTCATATCAATTTCACGAGCTGTCGTATAGATTCTTTTCTAAAGTATTATCTATCGGTTTAAATTTAAAGACGAAACACATTGCACTTGACTGGTTACCGAAGATAATATCGGTGGCCTAAATTTCATCTGTTATGCGACTAGATTTACAATGGTGGTTTAAAACTACGTAAATGTACATAATAGTTTGTTGTCAATCGAATGCAACAGGTCCCTCTCCGATATGCACCAGAAATCACACTTATTCGCTTTTGTTTTTTCTTCTTGATGGTTGTATAGTCTTATTACGAAAGAAGACGATTAGTTATTAAAAGAATAACTTTATATAAAGGTAGTTTCGTAAAATTGCTCATCAAGAACTTATTGTTCTTTATTAAACAACTTTCCCATATTCTAACACTCTTTTGTACTAATAAAGAATGTCAATCATACGGTTATTGTCACAAATACTAAAAATAGTGTCCGGAAAATTAGAAAATATGAGACACAAAAAAAGAAAACCAGTCGAACCACTGCTCTTCAAAAATAACTGCGACATTAAACACAACTTAATAGTAATGAAATTTATAAATTGTCATTTTTTAGCGCCGATATGTTCTACTTTTGTTACGGATAACAACAATGGCATTGATTCGCGGAACCGACCAGGATGGATATCGCTATTACCTTCTCTCGCCTTCATGGTATTTAACTTTAAGTCGTAGTGAGATATAGTACGGCAGTTTTACGTGCTTTTGTAAGAAAAACACAAACGAAGCGAAACACTAATTTGCAGTTTTCTCTTTAAGTAACCGACGAATAAAACGAACAGCACAAGACCAAGAACCGACATTGTCGCGCAATATCAACGCTGTGAAATTCTAACTTACAACAAAACATTCAAAGTTCAATAACAAAATCTGTGAAAAACATCCCTACTCTAGGTAACATACGTAAAACGAATATCGAATACCATTTAGAAAACAATGAAGGATCTGCCTGTTTGACACAATAAACGTGAAAATGCTTGAAATTTTATATTTATCTAAAAGTTGAGTAACTGACGATAGATGCCCAATAGTTATTACTAATTTCATAAATTAACGACGGCTTCTAACGACATCAACTGTGCAATTGCATCCCCTTAACCTTCTATACAAAACAAACCATGCAGCGGCTGTCTGTGACAGGAGTGAAAAGATTTTTTATTTTAAAAACCGACCAACGTTTCGCCTCACATTAGAGACTTATCAAGGTATTTTTTAAAAGTCGTTGATACTTAATACATTAACCAGCTTCTAATCTGAGGCGAAACGTTGGTCGTTTTTTTTTTAAATAAATAATCTTATCAACCCTTATTTGGCACATATAATTCGGTTGATACTACTCAGGGGAAGAATTATGGAAAATAAATTATGTATTACGATGTATCCGTGGTTTGCGAAAATTTCGCCTTCGCCAGTCAATGGAGCGAAGATGAGCAAAGACTAATTTTTGATCCGTCCACCCCTTAAAGTTATATTGGAAGTGGGGAAAGTCACATTTTGAACGTTTTCAATACCACACAATATTTCACGACTGAGCAAGTATATTGTGTTGCTCAAGATCTCACAAATGAAATTATGCACCGCCACTGACCAATTTTTTTTATTTTATTTTCAGATGCAGTATTGGCCCTGTTTAGTTGTATTTGCCGTAATATGGCCGTCGTGTTTAACGGAAATGAATTTCGTACCCTGTCCTGAAATATCACCAGAATTAAACTTTCCGTGCCGATGTGGTTTAGGCCCTACGGAAGTGGAATTAGACGGAAACCCGGCCCTGTACGTGGATTGCGACAGAATTGTGTTGGGTTCAGATTTTCCCAACTTGCCCTATGGAGCACCCGTAGTCTCTTTCAGACAAAGATACGCCGGTCATCAATCTCTTCCGACACAAGTAAGTTCAACAACACAATAATAAATAACACAAATAAAATCGAAACGACGACTTTAGAATGTCGAACAAGATTACAAGAACAATAGTTCTTAATATGCCCATTATGTACGTTATAAGGTTATAACCAATACATTTAGTCGCAGAAAATTAAACTATAAAACCAAAAACCATTACTAACGAAATTATTAAATCGTAACAAAGAAAATGGAATGCCGCAATAAAATAAAACACATCTGAATTTATACAGTTTCAATTATACGAAACTGCGAACAATACAACATCATCATAGGGTCGTCAGTCCTAAGACTGGTTGGACACGTACCTCCACTTTTTCCTATCTTGAGCTAAACTTCCCATTTCCCTAAAACTAGAACAGCCCACATCCTTAACTATTTGCGAACAATAATCTAATCTAGATCTACCTCTACCCCTCCTAATTCCTGTTTCTGCCTCTAATATGTCTATATATATGATCCAATGTAAGAGAAAACTCAATTACGAAACACAAAGTACGTATATTATTTATTAGTAAGACCTTTCGCTGACATTTCTTTCTATTGCAGAGGCACAGTAATCCGTCAATTCGTTTTTAATGTTAGGCTACAAGACTATGAAAGTATAATATGATAAAACAATAAACTCCTTTAAGAATCACGACTTCATGAGCATATATACCAGAAAACAATATAGATTAAGAAAACCAACTATGACACGATTTCGTTTCGCAGTTTAATGATGGTACTGGACGTTGTCCAAAAAGTCAAAACCCCAAGAAAACAGTTTTCCATCTATTAACTTTAGAAGCACCCAAAAAATTTGGATTGGTGTCAAAACCACATTTTAAATCTCAATGTGCTTAAGGTACTTAATAAGTGTTTTCGTAATTATTAGAAGATTCATTATTAATAACATAAAGAGTGCGAAACGATGGGGATACGGCTCATACGTTCGTGACCAAAACACTCACCATAGGAAGCTGACGCAATTGGTCAAATTTGTTTACTAGTTAGGTACAATTTTTTTAAAGAAGCTTTACGGTTTGAGTTACTATTTCAGCCAAATCCTTGATTACAATATTGTTTACTTAGACCACGGCCCGAATCTTCATTCTACTATGGACTCCGGCCGTGAAAGCCTTTGTTCTTATTTTACAATATTAAGTTTGTAAAGACTTATTTCCGTTCAAACGTGGACAAAGTCAACTACTGTGCATAATTCTTTCGTCAACTGGCATTCACATCAACTGAGTTATTTTCAAACAATTCAGCAAAACAATAGTGAAACCGATCAGAACTTCGGTGTCAACCTTCATTATGATAATCAAGTCTGCATTATAATACATAGATACACATACGTATATGACATTCAAGATACATACCTTGAACGAAAGTATTNATAAAAGTGTGAATAAATTGATGGATAATATAATAACTATAATGATGCGTTCTTCTCTCATTTGTTTATTTATTTTTTTGTTGACCTCTAATTATTATTGTTTCTTGCTATCTGCTTTTAATCGATTCATTTGAACTAATTAAGACGACACAGTACCAACGATGGTCGAGAACAAGAAGAAATAAATTCAAAGGGTAGCAACAAATTAATTATATATTCAAAAAAAATTAAATTTCAGTTGTTTCTTATTTTTTTCTTTTTTGTTGTTTGTTTGTTTGTTGTAGTTGTTGTGACGTTAGTTACCCTTCACAAAGTGGTAGTAAACAATTAATGATAATAGTTACTAAAAGTGTAGCGGTAGCTTTAGTTCTAGTACACAACGATTATCACTTGTGTTTTGTGTTAACATGGGAAGGGGGAGGCATTCCAAGTCTTGCGCGCACGCGCGTTTCTGTTATAGTCACTTAGTCAGCGTCCCTGTACGCACTTAAAACCACAAACGCACCACCCAGTATTCCATCCACCCCCTCCCCTTCTCTTTCATTCCATCCTTTCGTCAGTTTTTGCATACGCCATTTAAAAAAGGACTTGTTTTTCTCCACTGTCTTCGAGCCATCGTTTTCGCCATTACCGTCATAATCACCTTCTTTTTCATCTTCATGATTATAAGAGTGTAGTGTAGTAGTAGTAGTAGTTGTGTAGTATTGTAGTATGTAGTAGTAATAGTAATAATCATAATAATAATAATAGTTATAATAATAATCATTATGTATGTTTTAACCTAACAACGAAACGAAACAACAGTCCACTAAACTGTGCGTGTGGTGCGCGTGTGGCGGGGTTCATATCTTCTGGATCTTTTCGCCGACGACGACGGGGTTGTTGCGCCTGATCTCCTTCGCCCCCATCTCACGGTAATCGAACGTGCACTCGTGTTTGTCGCTGTATCGGTGCACCGCGCAAAACAGTCCCCCGCAGCGGCACTCGAACCCTAGAAAACGGAAACGACACAACATTGACGGGGGGTTGAGTAACTAACACCAGCGCGACAGACGAAACGTTTCAGTTTCATAGTTGCGTTTATTAATTACATAAATTCATTTTTGCATACACCAGAGTAACATCAGATGCCATAGAAGAAGGGGCAAGTACAAAACAAAAAAAAAAAGATATAGGTATCTATCATGAGGGAAACAATCTGGATTGAAAAATGGTCCTTTCTTAAAGAAAAGGGGACGAAAACTTACTGTAAAAGGCAAAAGGTAGAAGTCAAAACACTAATCAATTGAAAACTGATATTTCTTGATAAAGAAACAGGAAGGAGTAATATAGAAATTTAAGAATGAACTTTCTTCAAAGTATTCAACAGATTCCACCTATTGTGATGGCAATCTCCGAAAGGATATCATTATTTTAAATTAACAAGAAGGATATTCTGGTGATAAAAATAAGTAAGGAAGTAAAAGAGTCTACTAATAATTAATTATCGAATATAAAACGTCCCCTATACAAAAATTGTTCTATTACTTGTTGTTGCAAAAATGAACCCATGAGACCGTAAAATACATTTCACAGATGAACAAGAAGTATCCTGTCAATGAGACACAGGTGCTGGCGATGAGACCAAACATACATACGTATCATCATCAACAAATGTCTGTGGATGGACTAGGAGGAGTAAAATGGTAAACGAGTCTAGCAGCTTAGAAAAAAACCACAAGTTAATCATCATTTCTTTAAACTGAAAAAGCACAACTTCTAACTACGTTCATAAAACATATAAGGGGTGTTATTAAAATCACCGACAGACTTTAACGACAGATTAATGGGACGGATGAAATCTTTATCTTCTGTATCCACATTTTATAAAAAAACAAATCGCATCGGCAATATTAGTAATATACTACCTACATTATAATTATCAAGATCAAAACTACTAAATTTCTCACGGACAAAGACGACGAAGCAGATGAGATTGAGCGCGAGTGGGAGGGGAGGGAATGGAAAGTCACCTACCTGTTAATCCGACCTTTTTACGGCACACAGCGCAGCGGTTCTTTTTCTTTTTGGCGTCCTTGTCGCCGTCTTTGTCACCCGGGTTCGAATCGACATCGGAGTTACCGCTTGCGGCCGCTTCGTTCTGGTTTTGGACGCCATCGTCTGTTTCCTGAACAATCGAAAACACAAGAATTACTCCACAAAATTCTTATTTGCCAGCAATTCTCACGAAAAACAAGATACTAAATGAAGAAGCATTGTAAATATTTGCGTTTACTTTGAAATTATAAATTTATTTGTTTATATGCATTGCTTGTCCATTAAGAAGTATTTGTAAACTTATAATGCAATAAACAATTGAGTAATCCTTAATTATGATACTAGAAATAACAGAAACGTAAAAGAAACATCCGATGAGAAATGACAGGAAAATCCAAAATACTGGGATTTCTCACTTAATCAAAATAATTCCTTGAAGCTTTCGGGCTTCAAGTAAATAAAATTAAATTATTCAGGTCCTGAAACCAGTGGCGGCTCTTTAATGAAAGTGAGTAATTGAAGCACCGTTTTGTCTTTCCTAATTTTAAGATTATGCACTTCCTATGTTAACCATCTGGAGTCGCCACAACTTCAGGCTTATTTCACATAATATTCAAGTTATTAAACTTCACACAATAGGCATTAAAGGTATAAAGAAACATCGTCAGTATCACTGTGACGAATTCACTGATAACATTTAAATATTCTTATAAAGATGTGGGTTACTTTTAAGGGTAGTATTTGTACCTATTCAGTTTGCTAGAGTTCGTCTTCGAACGCAGAAGTCCAAACAACAAAAACGAAAAACTTATAAAAACAAATAATCAATCAATTCAATTTGTCCCATTACCGGATGCTGTAGATCGGATTGTTGCCCGTTTTCGTTGTTTGTAGGCAATTTTTCTATGTTTTCCTCACATTCTTTATTTATCGATGTATGACTGTTTGACATAACTCTGTAAATTTTGATGTCACCTTGACATTTTGACGATTCCCAAGTGCAAAGCACACTTAAGGAAAAGTACTCCCCACCCTATTAATTATTACTGTTGAAACCAAAAAAAATATTACCTTGTTTAAGTCAGCGTTCGAATCCGTCGACGCCGACAATGGCACAGAGGGGTGGCAAGTGGGTATCGTGGGTTGTGCGGTGGCCGTCGCTGCATCCATAAAGCTGGCGAACGATTGTGCGTTGTTGACTGAGGAAGCAGGACTAGGGGTCGAAACGGGGGGTTGTTGTTTCTTTTTCAGGGCTTCCTGCAAAAGTACACAAGTAACAAAAGCTCTACGTAACATCGGTGGTTAAAAACAAACGGAGTAAAGTGAACAATTTACACCATAACACCGAACATTTCATATTATTTTCATAATGTTTCCGTTCGTTGAACTCTAATCTAACCGAGACAAAAAATAACCATTAACTGCCTTTAATATATGTACATGGAAAACACGTCAACAGAAAATGCGCACTAATTCTAAATTAATTTTCAATTTCACTGCGATGCACACGTACATACAAATACTTGTATGTCAATAAACCCATTAAACAATTGTGCACAAATGCAGCTTGCCATCGGTACATATGCATTTATAATTATTAATATAACTGTTAACGTGCATGCGTAATTTACCCTGTCTCTTGGCAGAGCTTAATCTTAAAGGGAAATTAATTATAATTAGGGACAACGATTGCGTCCAGAAAGGCCAACAAGCTGTTCTTTACAGGAAATTGTAGTAATTATACTAAAGCAACTACCAGAAAACATATCTAATGATCAATATAGTTCAAAATTAAGTTTAAAAAACTTTTCACTACTGAGAACCGTCAAATGGGAGGAGCCTTAAAAACATGACGCTGATGAGGGAAAATTTATCAGTCCCCATAGCCCTATAGAGCAACTGGGGATTTTTTATATAATTGGAGAAGGAATTTTGTTGAAGATGAACACGAAATAATGAAAATTATTGGAAGTGCCATTAGAGCCTTTTACCAACTATTCATTTGTTATTGAAATTGTAATTTATTTAACACTTTTCATGATTTTAATAAAAAATTCTCCAATCCACGTGCACTCCTGTCTGAATTCTTTCATTAGTAATTCCAAGTTTTACGGATCCGAATATCCTTAACATAAAACATAGGTATAAGTAAAGGTAACAGTACCCACTTATGTTAAACGACGACCTTCATTATCTCGAAACAATTTTTCGCAATTAGTACATGGGCAGTGTCTATCTAACTATTATCTATCTATCTGTTTCGTTCGCGAATGCATGACCAACTTGGCGCAAAAACGGCCAACAAAAACTCGGCCGACCTTCGGGTCTCCGCCTTGTGCATACCGAGCAAATTTTGCACCAAACAGCACCACAAATAGCGCTTTTGCATATCGACATTACAATGGCAAAGTTAAAAGTGCAAAAATAACACGTCGTCAAACTGCTAACTCAACAATTCCCTATCATACTAGACACATTTAATTTTTATTTTACCTACTAAAACAGTGGGTACTTGGAGTTCCTCCATCCCCATGTACGTATTAAACTATTTCAAGAAAGAAACAGTGGAATTTCCCAACCAAAATCCAAGAGATAATGGCAAAAATAACATATTTTTATAGTTCCTGTGTTTATTGATTGGATACAACTAGTTATTAACCTTTGGAATTAAACGATAAGACCGGATTTAACTATATTTACGGAATTTCTGGTAGTAAACATTTGACGAAAACAAAAAACTTACTTTATAACATAGAGAACAAAGTCCATCGGTGGCAGGACTGCCGTAGAATCCACAACCTGACCGGCAGAGAGCTTGCATGGGGTTTGACTCCTTCTCCATTTCGTACAAGTCCTTTATTTACTTATTACAACCACACTATGTACTGTTAATATTACTAACACAAGAAGTCACTTCAGTTTCACACGGGAGGTCGAACCAAAATTCTAATTAACTAATAACAATGAAAACAAAAACAACGCGTACGCGATGATGCCCAATTTTATTTATCTTAACCGCTTCCGTTTTCTCCGCTTCTTTCTCTTGAACCAAGGATCGAGCAATGAAGAATCAGAACCACCAGGGCGGTTGCTGACCCACACCAGTTGTCAGTAAAGAATCATATTATTATCTGCAATAAAAAGAAAACAACTCCAGTATCTATATTTACCATGGTTTTATTACACTACGAAAACAACAACATTATGAATATAATCTAAATAATCTGTAAATAAATTAGCGATAAGTGTAGACCAGGAAGTGCTTCGATAATATTGAAAAAGTCAATTTTTTCTCTATGCTCTATCGTGTCGGATAGTATAATATTATTAAGAAAACAAGCATTGGCCAAAGATGCAGTGAGATGTTTTTATCAACCACCTCTGACCCATTCAGTCAAGAGGTTCACTGATTAAAACAGGTCATCAGTACTTTACACTGATACATGAAACTCTGTCAAGTAGACGCATGAACCATTATCGTATATGTAATTTATGCACAATATTCTTACTCAAAGTTTAAAAAACATTCTGAGAAGCTTTCTGGCGTAATCAAACTAAACGACGCTGTTACAAATGAATAAATACTAAATTACTTTGTAAATTTAACGTCACATACGAGTTTATAAATTTAAAGCTATTGTTTTCATCCAAAATAAATATTTTTAAAGGATCACATGATGATGCAATGGTAATTTTTTAGTACGGTATGAACTGTGTTTCTCGACAAGTTTTTGGCAAGAATATCTACAGGTCTATGTAGAACAGTTCACGTGGATAAAACGTTTAAATGGCTCGCAATCGTACACCGCCAAAAAACATATGCAGAAGCCAAGCATATACCAAATATTCACGCAGTAAAATTAGCTATCCGGCTCGAAGGACCATTAAAAATAATCAAAGTTTCCTCTAACGTCTAATAACTTATCAAACAGCTCTCCTTGCATTCCATGTGAAATCAAAACAACGGTGACCCACACAGGGAGGAAATGAGACGTTTTACGCCACCTGTGACACACGCACGCTTCCGCATGTCGTAGTCCGATGACGGTAAAAATAAAGTAAAAAAGGTAAAAAAAGAAAATAAAACGACGAAGTCGGTCGCCTCGTGGTCGGGAAGACTTTGTAATAACGTGGGGGCCCCCGACCGTGGGCGGGTCAATGTCCCCAATCATACACACATACTTAGGTACGCGGGTCTTCGCCACCCGAACGAACATTAACACTAACAAAGGACCTCAAGAACAACGAAATGGACGCATTAGAACAGGCACCCGAATATCAGTCAAAGCTACACAAGGAAAAAAAACCAGGAAAATAATGCTTCCACTATTTCCTCACCATGATGTGTTTCTTAAGGAAAATATACATTTTTCATTATCTTACCATCACACGAAATAGAAATGCGAAGTTCTGCACTAGACTCTACCACTCGTAAACAATAACTGAACTAATTTACACACAAATGAGATCAGTTGTATTGAACGTAATAAATACAATTTAATGAGGGATGCAAATAATGATCAGCACAATTTATACGAAGATATCAATCACCTTCCCCTACCTTCGAAGCTCGATAAACTACCCACATGCCCCAACTAGGGGTAGGTTAGCACGTGCATAATTAATATATTTCGCAATAAGCGAAAACGTGTATTTGACAACTAAATTAAAAATAGGTACTCTTCGATTATTTTTCACTTTTCACGAACAGATGAAAATATTTTTAGATCTACTTTATATCCACGGTAGAAAATGTTAAAACGTAGAATTCCAAATGGAAATGTTAAAAAAGTTTCAGACCAAGGTGTCACTTTTCATACAAAATTTTTATCGTTGTCATTTTATACACAATTCAATAACAAAATAATAAAAATGAATTGTGGAGTTTGTACAAATTAATTTACTAATAGAAGTATACTTAATGTCTCCATTATGCTATAATTAAAATTGAAGTGATTACTGCAACTTAATAGTTCATTTACTAATAGAAACTATGAAAATAGGTATCCAATTATTTACGAATAATGCAAACGTGTTTACAATCTTTGTATAGGTATTGGCATATTGGATGGAATGGTATAGGTGGACGAGCCATGCAATTTAGAAAGTTGCTTAAATACAAACACAATTAAAGGTATATGCAGATAACGTAAGCACACAGATAAATGCGAACCATTAGTTTTATATGTCAAGCAGTTCCTAAATTATCACTTTTGCGTTAAACTTTCTCACCCATAGCATAACAAAAAGGTATCGTTAAATAATTCTGCAAGAAAACAGCAAAGATAATACGCCATCTCAAAAACCATTGTTCTTGACCCAATTAATTAAAAATCGCTTCTTAATATCTATTTCCAAAAACAGATATTTATGAAAAAATATCAAAAAGCGAATTACTCCACTTCGAAAACCACGCTACTAAATTATATTATAACCAACCCAAAGGCAATCAATTAAGTCTGTCGGAAAATCTCGAAATAGAGAAAGTAATATCCATGAACAAATCCGTTGTTAGCACACATGAGTAAATTATAGATAACACACCCTTTCTTCTACATTAACAAATCTAATGTAATACAATAAATTATATATAAAGTGCAGAACTATAATATGCATTAATATCCTTCGAAATTTAAAAATTTTTAAATGATTTCCTACGTAACATTTCGAAACTCAAAAGAACAATCATTTTGTTTCGTCATCAAAAAGAACAGAATTTTACAAACTAAACTGTTTTATCCTTAATCCTCAATACTAAAGGTGCTATTGTCGCTGTTTGCAAGTGCATTTATCCTTCTGATATGGATGATCTCTAATAGGAAGTTGATACTAAATAGGAGACACCTGTGATGAGGTAGTAAAAGTATAGTGAAAAGATTGCAAAAGATAAAAGATGCTGACTGTCTTGGAAGGATTGCAAGTAGATCTATCCTATAATAGTATGAGTAGTGGTCTATAAGTTGATAGTGAATAGGAGACACCTATGATGAGGTAGTAAAGTTGTGGTGAGAGGGAAGGGGTTAGTGTATATCGGATGAGGATGATCGATTAGAAAGGAAGTTGAAGGTGTTATGGAGAGCTCGGACATAATGGTTCCGGCTACATCCTAATTTATTTTTATTTTAAAACAACCAAGTACATAAATCCATTTATAAAGTGGAAATTAGTTTTCTAAAAGCCAGTGCCATCAACCCCTTTTGCGAAGGAAGATAAAACGTGTGCTGCAAGGGCAGTAATACCGTTATAGGTAATGCCTTTGTATCAGGTCAGACATTTTTGTTTTAATCCAGTATTTTATTTAGTTAATTTGCATTTAATCCAGTCATGTATCCAATTATTATGGTTTTAATTAAGTACATCCAATAAGACAAAAATTTCAAATAATGTCTTTTTATTTCTTGTGGACTGGGGATATTTTGTATTACAAAAAATTTTCCCCCCTTTTTACCACAATGAACGGACACGTGTTTCGCCTACTTCATGATGCGGGCGCTACGGGCGAAACACGTGTGTGCTCGCTACAGTTCGTTGTGTATTTTTTTTTGTTTAAAGACCAACTAATATCTGCGTTGTAGATAGGGTGTTTTTTGTTTACAATATATTTATAATTTACTTATTATTTAACTTTCCTTGATGTTTTTCCTTTTATCCACGGAAAATTGTATCCCAAAACACAAAGGTAAACACGAAGTATCCACGTCTGTAATTGTATTGATTACATCATGTCTACCACGTTTTTTCTATTCAATTGTGGGAGTAAGAACGAATTCGGTTTTCGAATTCGTAGACACCAGACAAACAAGTGTGCACGGTATACCTCTGTAAGGTGTGCTACAAAAGAAAAGTTGTCCTTCCTCTACTATTCTTCTACTCGAGCCGAAACGGTCATGCAAAATATGCAAACCTTGACCGACATCTTGCATAGTTCCGCAATGTCTGAGAAGAAGCCTATTCTGATCAATATCTGCCCACAAACACATAACAATCATTGTAATCAACTTTCGAAGACTGCGATATAATTCTTAATGTTTTCAAGCAAAAACAACATGGAACACATTTTCAAATAAAATACGTAGCAGTAGTATAACTAAGAGGGTTTCGTAACACCGAACAAAGCGTCATCAAGATGGCGTCTGACTTTTGAATACCTTTTTTCGTATAATTTCATGATCAGCCTGTACAGGACATTAGGAACTATACGACAGAACATAATCATAAAAATACTAAAGATTATATTCTCCTAACACAACACCCTTGGTAAATGTCTAGATGATCCCTCTGGGATCGAAAGAGGAGGTCTCTCCTACCACTGTACCATAAAAAGTTCGTGGCGGTCTCACCCCCATAAAAAGTTATGGGGCTTAGATGATGGCCCACAGGGGAAGGGGGGTCGAAAGAGGGTGCTCACCTGAGTAAAACCCCATAAAAAATTTGCGGCGGTCTCACCCCCTTAAAAAGTTATGGGGGTTGAAAGTTGATTATTTTGACAATTTTCATACACTATAATTCAAATAAAATTCAATAAAAAAATTATTTTCAAGCGGGTGGAGGTGGGGGATCGAAAGAGGGTGGTCACTTGAACAAAACCCGATAACCTAACCTAACCTACCCTATTGATAAAGATATTTAAATAATGTTTTATATAACTTTCTCAATATTTTTATGTATTTTTCATTAGTTTTACCTTTGAATATTGTTTAAGAATGACTATATAAATATTTACATGCCTAGAAATGTATAAAAATTGACATATTTATTAACTTTGAACCGCCATAACTTTTTATGGGGGTGAAACCGCCACGAACTTTTTATGGTACAATGGTGGGGTAGACCTCCTCTTATGATCCTCTAGCTAGACCTTTACCCACCCCTCTTTTGTGTCGCTTATTCCCGCTTCAAGGAGAAATTTATCTTCACCTTTTATACCATAATTGCACACCTCGTGGGCAAGAATTATATCCATATCCACAGCACATCTCAACGAATCAACGTGAGTTGCATAATCGGCAATAAAATTAAATAATTTTTGGCCCGATTCCAAGGCTCCATTTCTCATGTAGTCGCGTGGTTGGCCTTGTTTTTTTTTGCGCCTAAATTTTATTTAATTAAAGTACATACCTATCATCATCTCGCCTTTTCTTGCATACGTGGACTCCTCGCCATTATTACACAATACACATTCAAAACATTGAAACAAACGACGAATAAGCGCGTCATAAAACGCAAACGTTATCAGCGATTTTATTATTTGAGAAAGATAAATTTAAAATCGAATGTGGAAATGATGCAATCATAAAAAAAAAATAAAATAATGGTTTATAACTACGACGCTTAACGTGTATGTAGCTGGAACAGGAACAAAGAATGGTACCTACATCACAGTTTGTCTGGTACTGCCATTAAAAATTTGCACAATGCCATATTCGTCACATAAATCATGATTAGTGCAAGGACGAAATCGGGTGCTAAAAACGTACTATGATAATAAAGCAGTTACATAATCGGGGTATTTGTTTACACTTTTTGTCGACTAGCCATTTGGTACAGAAAAAAAAAACAACAGAAACCACCTACGCTCAAGGCCTACGTTTACAGTGAGCGTGGGCTATATTCAATCAATACATAGAATAATTAAAATGAAAGAATGTTTTAAAAATAGAAAACTAATCTAATCAGTAAGTCAAATACTTAAAAACTTTTTTTTTAAGAATTTAGTGTAAAAGTATGAGCCAAGTTGTTTCATTGGGAAAACCACTTCGCCGTAGGTGTTTTGAAAACTTTCCCCAAGGAAAGCAGCTGATCGATTAAATGATAGGAAAACTGCGGTCACATGAAACTATGTAAACCTAGCTCGTGTTGGCCAAACAGACGCCGCCTCCAACGCGCCACGACGCTAGGCGTCACGTGCAACACGTGTGCCGTAATCAATAGGTCAAGTATGCACCAAGTGCACGCGCAACCGTCCAACTCGCAATAGAATTTCTGCTGATGCCAAAGACTATTTCTAAAATAAATATCGATCGAAAGATTCCAAAATTTCACAATATGGTGCCTTCCATTAGTATGCCAAGTGGAGTTTGGAAAAAATCCATTATCCTTGTCATTTTAGGAGAACTCAGTCGTCTAAGCTCTCTCCCATGGGACTGCTACTGTCCATGTGTTCAGAGAAACTTGAATTGTTTATTACGCACACATAACGTTTCGAAATGAGTTTTGTGTATTCCTGTCGTTGTCATTATACGTACGTCACAAACGTATTTGAGTGTATGTGGCTGTGGCGGCATTGTGACCCGAAAACTGAAAACGATGCAATAATAATTGGAGTGAAACGCTAACGGATGGATTACCAGCAAGGCCGCAACGATTCCACAAATCAGACTTTTCAACACACTTCTCGGACCAGAAACATCACCGTTGTTAAAACGAGTAAAAGAAGCACGACAAACTTTTTCATAAATTGCTCATTACCTTTGCAGCATTTTTGAAAAAAAAAAAAAAAATTAGTGTAGCCTAAAATCCAAAAAAGCCTTTGATACAAACTGTGGGTCGAATTAATAAAATCACGAAACGTGCCTTCCAAAAGCAACTTAAAGTACAGATGAACGGTTATTTGGACTGTTTTTACTCTCATTTTTAACACGTCCAAATTTTCCAATTCCATCATCATCATCATCATCATCATCATCATAAGGTCGCCAGTCCTCAGACTGGTTGGACAAAACCTTCACTCTTTCCTATCTTGAACTAATTTTCGCATTTCCCTAAAACTAGAACAACCCACATCCTTAACTTGTTTGCGAACAGTAATCTAATCTCGGTCTACCTCTACCCCTCCTAACTTCCGTTTCTGCCTCTAATACGTTTCCGACTACACCTTTATGCATAACAAGGTTTCCTACCAACCTATCTCGCCTATTTTTTATTGACTTCCATAGTCTTCTGTTCTCCTATTCCTTCTAATATCTCTTCATTTCTAACCATTATCCACGGTATTTTCCAAATTTCGACCGCTTCTAACCTTTTATTTTCCGTCTCGCCCACCGTCCATGTTTCGCACCCATACAGCGCCGCGGTCCTAACATGCACCTTTAACAATCTTTTTCGAATTTCTAAATCTACCTATCTATCAATTTTTTATTAACAATTAGCTATTAAGCGATAAAAGTTTTGCAATCTATACGTACTACAAAACTGGGTATCAAATTCAAAAAATCTTTTGCATACTTCATATTTTGGGTAATTTTTGTAAATGAGGAAACACGTTCATTTTACCCATTATGTGGCTTCGCTTTAAGGAATACGTACAGAAAAGAAACCTTGAAAAACGGTTCTATTAGCATAATCGTTACCGTATCGTCATTTTATTTGGGTTACCATTGTTTTCCCTTTCGGTAGACGGGGAGATATCGCGCAAGCGAAATCGCAACCTTGCAAGTGCACACAACACGGTGAAATTCAGAAACAATTACGAAACGTTTCTCGTCGACTTATTACCCGCGTAACCTACAATGGCACTCGTTAGTTCTAGGAAAAATGCGTACAAGTGTACCCGTACCTAGCTATACCTACCTATACAGTTAGTTAATACACGGTGAACGAACAACAAAAGTAATCGATGTCTGCTGCAGCAGAACAATAGTTCCAACAGCAGTTACTTCACTTTTATTTCATCGTTTAAAAGAGAAAAGCAACCGACTCTCCATTGCATAAGACTCGTTGCAGATACATTACAATTTCCGATTATTTTTAAACGATTCAGGATACGTGAGCGATTATTATTTTCATTAACGAAAGAATCATTTTTATAAACACACCAACAGGACGGAAGACCTACTTATAGCCTCCCGCAGAAGCAGTAGGAAATAGTCAATGGTAATGGTTAAGGAGGGAAAGACGAGACAGACAAAGGACTATCAGTGGAATTTAAGTGGAAGATCTTCTTCAGTCACCTTCTACTAATCGTGGGAATGATTAAGAACAGACAGACAAAAGTGAAAAGTGAAAGACTGCCGATGGAACATTGCTGCTCCAGATACATTGTAATGCAAACTGATGGGTGACAGCCTCTTAGCAGCCTTTAGAAATCAAGGGAATCAGTGGAAGAGGAACTGAGACAGGCGAGATGAAGGCAGGAGAAAACTGAGAGAATCTGTGAAATGTTGGCGCTCCCCAATAATTTTTCTACATGGGACCAAGGGTAGCGTATCCGGAATATATCTTTCCAAACGCTAAGCTATGATCTAATCAGTAGATCACGTCACTCGGTATTATTTCGTCCATACTACCACCTTCCCATACTTTTTCTTATTATGTATTTATACAATAGTCATCTAATCTTCCGACCGAAAGCAAACCGAAAATTCTATTCAAGCAGTAACATTTAATAACCTCTTTCTCCCTCTCGTCAACATTTACTTTATGCTCATTCGCGAACAGGATCTTCTTCGCTATCTACGTATTTCTGCAACGTGATCGCTCCAACGGCACAGAAAGTGGGCCGCGACAGAATCTTCTTCTTCAGCATCATCATCAACATCAACATCTTTTCGATTCCGTTCACGTACGTGTACACGGTCTCGTCTCATATTCGTTCTTTACAGGGCCCCCCTTTTGTTAACGGTTCAAACAGGTTGTTTTGCATACCTTTACACTCATGTATTGTATACCATCAAGTCTACGACCTCACGATGGTACGCACTAATAATGAAGACGACAGAGATAGAAACAACACCATGACAAAGGCGGTTTCACCGTCCATCGACTGTCAGTGGGTAAAATTATTTGAAGAATTTCCGTTGTCGATCGGCATTGGTAACGGAAACTGACTACGAAAGAAACAACAAAACCGAGAGGGAAAATAATACTGCAAGATGACAACATAGTAAAATTTCAATTACATGACTAACCTACTGTAATATAAAACTGTAAATGTACTGGTCTGCAATATAATGCAGTGGATATCCTTCTACTGACTACCAACAAGGATTTGAAACGTTTGTTTGTACACTCAAAAACTTTAAGACCTATTGAAGCTTTCCTTTATTTTTCCTACATAAACCTTTCCAAAATATCCTATTCATTATATGCTTATTCATTCAGCACGCTTTTGGTACACATTTCCGGAAATGTATCTGAAGAAATCCTGCATTAAATTACAACAATTCCTTACATTCACCCCCTTTCTCCATTTACCAAAATAATCATAACAAATACAGTGCTTACTACAAACTGACCGACCTCCAATATTTTGGAAAGGAAACTATTAGGAAGGATAAGAAGGTAATATTTATTAAGTTTCNACCCAAGAGTTTGGAGTCTGTCATATATTTACAGACACCTACATATTTGTACACATTAATATGAAACAGAACAACCTTCATTTGAAGCAGTTTTATCCACTGCTTTTATTTGCAGTTATCAAATTCCAACCATTAGTACCTGATTAGCAAACTGCTGTATAAAGGTAGTAATGGTTGTCTTTGCAAAAATTACAAAGGGTTTCAGCACTTACCATTAAAAGTACCCTCCAATGTTCCAATAATAAAAACTATCGCTATCCAACACTCGCGAACACTTTTTACATTTTTACGCTGATTTTTCAACATTAATAAATGATAAACTTATAAAACAACAAACACCGGCATAGATATGCATACATGTATACATGTGCGACAGTTATTAAAAATACGAATAATTTTTAGCCATCACAAATTCAGATTAAGGTAACATGTTCTACAAAATCTGTTTGAGTTGAATGAAATATTTGAGTAATTTTAGAAGATAATACCTCCTTTTAATTTAAATTTAAAAGAATTAATGTAGAACAGCGTAAAAACGTACTTACACCACCGAGACTTTGAACCGAAAGAACGAAAATAACAAACAACCAAAGAACTTTAAAGTAGTAGTGTCACAATAACCCGCACTTCGTAGTCTTTAAATTAATTACCAAAATTTAAGATTTATTTGATAATAACGTCATAATGGCCAAAAAATCTCTATTATTAATTAATTATAACTTTAAAATGAAATCTGTACGCGTTGCTTTCCATTTATGCTGATATTACCCAACTACTTTTGAGTTGGCAATCTATTACATCTATGATTATTCTACCACTCGATTTTGTTTCTAACCGGTAAATTCAAAATTGAATTTTATAAGTTAAAACAGAATAGATACAGAATTAGTCTTGATTAAAAAACAAGATATTTCTCAAATGATACATGACTAGCCCTTACAGAAGCGTAAAATAAATAGTTAATAACTAAATAAATAATTAAAAACTTTTGTATAAAATAAATGGACGACTTTACAGTCAAATAACTTATTAGTTAGCACATCAAATATACCAAAACGATCAAAACAAAGTTCTTATTGACATGTAATTGATGATTAATTGAATGTTATAAATGTAACGCCAAAGATTGAGGAGCCACTAGTAAATACAACGGTTTTTAGCCAAAAAGCTTACAACTCGCGTTGGATCCCCTCGTTTACATTCAATTAGCTATTTATTAATTAAATCGCCTATTTATTGCATCTGTTATCAACCATTTAGTCCTATTCGACTCTAACAGGGTACACAAATAAAAATTTACCACAACAGTATCAGATTCACTACGCAGGGGGTAGTAAAACTGTTTGAGATTTAGAAGTTAAAAAAACTTACCAAATAAACATTCCTTTTGCTTTTGTCATTTTGCACTTTCTTTTTTTATGTAAAACGATCTGAAAGACACGAGACGACTTACTAACATTAAAAAAACACAATTAGCACTTCATTTAAACTTTTTATTTTTATCACCTTGTTTTAAAGTTCATTTAAACGTCTCTTCTCTACACTTCACAGCAGCAATTGCTATAATGGTGGCATTGGATTGCCAAGCTTCGATTTAATTTAAAAAGAGTGATACACAGCACACTTCGACTACAGTCAGATGTTTTTTTTTTGTTTTAAAGACAAATTTACATACAATAATCGGATGAGCAACAAAAGGAAACTACATTATTACAAGAAAAAAGCCTTGGAACAGTCCGGACCTGCACACATTAAATATTAAAATAACAAATTTATTAATCTCTTGCCTTGTTTTTTTCTTTTGCATGTCATGGCAACTGTAACTGTAACTTCAAAAGGCACTTGTTGAGTGTCAGTGTTCAATTTTCAATAAAAACAAGAATTTGATCACTAATACATATACATAATTAAAACTATTGCACTTTTCCAAAAACGTAAGCAATTAAATTCAAAATTAAGGAAAACCAGTCTCTTTTAACCATTGCACAAAGATCACATACGTAGGGGTGGCAGACGCGCTTGTTCCTCGTTTTGTTTGCCAGATTTCATTCATTAATTGTGCAGTTTTCAACCGAATATTAAAAGTTTCACATGGACGCTTAAGTACGTGCTGAAATGAAAAGATAAAAATTCGCATGCGCAGTCCGAACTGTTCGAAGGCTTATTATAATAAGATAAAGGCATAAACAATCAGTTTCATAATAAAATTAACTCTGACAACGGCAAAAAACTGCTGAATATCCTGCATATTATCAATATAATGTAACAATGAATTCCTTAAACTAAGCAGAAAGAAATAATAATAATAAATGAAGATTAAAATGGAACACGCTGAAAAGTAAAATTAAATTACAAGGGCGAGGAAAACGGAAAAATGAATTCACAAAATAACACATGTGTAGATTACCAATTTGAGGCAAAAAAGTATTTGTACAATTTACGTTTTTCTTCCTATTTACTTCCCTGATTTGCAAAATTTTTTAATAAATGTGAAAAAGACTTTCCTTTAATTAAAATCTAACAAGTTACTTGACCTGACTGCGAAAAGGTCTTTCGACGATTGCTAATTAATATGGTTTCTATAGTTTATCATTCAAAAGATCTTTTTCTATACCATGTAAGGTCAAATGCGTTTGTATTATTATATTCACAAAAATAGTGCTTTTCTTAGTCATCCTTTAACACATTTACTATTCAATTTATAGTTAATTACATTAACCACGATTAACGTTTACTATTTACAAAATATGAAGAAAAGCAGTTTGTAAATAATTACTTGACTCTTAGTGACTACGCCTTATTCTGGGCTTGTCGTATAAAAAGAAGAAAAATAAACGAGATAATTTGTACACATTTTAATAACAAATACCGTTCTACCTCAATTTTATTATTACTTTTGTTTTTTAGCAAACAGGTAGCAGCAATAGTGATTTGATTAGCAAGAAGTAGTAGTAGTAGTAGTAGTAGTAAATAGCAGCGACATTACCATTTTTCTTTTTGTTTATTNATACGTACGTCACAAACGTATTTGAGTGTATGTGGCTGTGGCGGCATTGTGACCCGAAAACTGAAAACGATGCAATAATAATTGGAGTGAAACGCTAACGGATGGATTACCAGCAAGGCCGCAACGATTCCACAAATCAGACTTTTCAACACACTTCTCGGACCAGAAACATCACCGTTGTTAAAACGAGTAAAAGAAGCACGACAAACTTTTTCATAAATTGCTCATTACCTTTGCAGCATTTTTGAAAAAAAAAAAAAAAATTAGTGTAGCCTAAAATCCAAAAAAGCCTTTGATACAAACTGTGGGTCGAATTAATAAAATCACGAAACGTGCCTTCCAAAAGCAACTTAAAGTACAGATGAACGGTTATTTGGACTGTTTTTACTCTCATTTTTAACACGTCCAAATTTTCCAATTCCATCATCATCATCATCATCATCATCATCATAAGGTCGCCAGTCCTCAGACTGGTTGGACAAAACCTTCACTCTTTCCTATCTTGAACTAATTTTCGCATTTCCCTAAAACTAGAACAACCCACATCCTTAACTTGTTTGCGAACAGTAATCTAATCTCGGTCTACCTCTACCCCTCCTAACTTCCGTTTCTGCCTCTAATACGTTTCCGACTACACCTTTATGCATAACAAGGTTTCCTACCAACCTATCTCGCCTATTTTTTATTGACTTCCATAGTCTTCTGTTCTCCTATTCCTTCTAATATCTCTTCATTTCTAACCATTATCCACGGTATTTTCCAAATTTCGACCGCTTCTAACCTTTTATTTTCCGTCTCGCCCACCGTCCATGTTTCGCACCCATACAGCGCCGCGGTCCTAACATGCACCTTTAACAATCTTTTTCGAATTTCTAAATCTACCTATCTATCAATTTTTTATTAACAATTAGCTATTAAGCGATAAAAGTTTTGCAATCTATACGTACTACAAAACTGGGTATCAAATTCAAAAAATCTTTTGCATACTTCATATTTTGGGTAATTTTTGTAAATGAGGAAACACGTTCATTTTACCCATTATGTGGCTTCGCTTTAAGGAATACGTACAGAAAAGAAACCTTGAAAAACGGTTCTATTAGCATAATCGTTACCGTATCGTCATTTTATTTGGGTTACCATTGTTTTCCCTTTCGGTAGACGGGGAGATATCGCGCAAGCGAAATCGCAACCTTGCAAGTGCACACAACACGGTGAAATTCAGAAACAATTACGAAACGTTTCTCGTCGACTTATTACCCGCGTAACCTACAATGGCACTCGTTAGTTCTAGGAAAAATGCGTACAAGTGTACCCGTACCTAGCTATACCTACCTATACAGTTAGTTAATACACGGTGAACGAACAACAAAAGTAATCGATGTCTGCTGCAGCAGAACAATAGTTCCAACAGCAGTTACTTCACTTTTATTTCATCGTTTAAAAGAGAAAAGCAACCGACTCTCCATTGCATAAGACTCGTTGCAGATACATTACAATTTCCGATTATTTTTAAACGATTCAGGATACGTGAGCGATTATTATTTTCATTAACGAAAGAATCATTTTTATAAACACACCAACAGGACGGAAGACCTACTTATAGCCTCCCGCAGAAGCAGTAGGAAATAGTCAATGGTAATGGTTAAGGAGGGAAAGACGAGACAGACAAAGGACTATCAGTGGAATTTAAGTGGAAGATCTTCTTCAGTCACCTTCTACTAATCGTGGGAATGATTAAGAACAGACAGACAAAAGTGAAAAGTGAAAGACTGCCGATGGAACATTGCTGCTCCAGATACATTGTAATGCAAACTGATGGGTGACAGCCTCTTAGCAGCCTTTAGAAATCAAGGGAATCAGTGGAAGAGGAACTGAGACAGGCGAGATGAAGGCAGGAGAAAACTGAGAGAATCTGTGAAATGTTGGCGCTCCCCAATAATTTTTCTACATGGGACCAAGGGTAGCGTATCCGGAATATATCTTTCCAAACGCTAAGCTATGATCTAATCAGTAGATCACGTCACTCGGTATTATTTCGTCCATACTACCACCTTCCCATACTTTTTCTTATTATGTATTTATACAATAGTCATCTAATCTTCCGACCGAAAGCAAACCGAAAATTCTATTCAAGCAGTAACATTTAATAACCTCTTTCTCCCTCTCGTCAACATTTACTTTATGCTCATTCGCGAACAGGATCTTCTTCGCTATCTACGTATTTCTGCAACGTGATCGCTCCAACGGCACAGAAAGTGGGCCGCGACAGAATCTTCTTCTTCAGCATCATCATCAACATCAACATCTTTTCGATTCCGTTCACGTACGTGTACACGGTCTCGTCTCATATTCGTTCTTTACAGGGCCCCCCTTTTGTTAACGGTTCAAACAGGTTGTTTTGCATACCTTTACACTCATGTATTGTATACCATCAAGTCTACGACCTCACGATG